CGCCTTGAGGCATGGAACATATGTACCAAATATGCCAAAGATGTCTACAAAATTATTTCAGTTATTATTAAAAAACTGATTATTTTTGAAAACTTTGCCACCCTGTATCTCAAAAGTTAAGGCGTTTAGGACATACGTCCATAGGATTTTTTTTTCTTAAAATGGGTCTAAGAATTACCTCCTTGAATATTAGCATGTGTTTAAGGAAAAATCAAAAAATACTTTCAAACCAAGTTATTTCATGAAGTTTCGATTGTTAGTATTCACAATCGTCTTAGGGTGATGACTGGACTATTCCTCCTAAAAATGACCATTTATAGGTCACTCGAGTGCTTTTATCTATCCCGTCTTATCTAGCTTGACTGAATGCTTCGTTGGACTGCATATGCTTCTCTGAACCTCATTTTGAATCAGTGTTCCTCCCTTTGGACGATCTCAGCTTAGGACCACTTGATGTTATGTTGATGAGTCCAAACATGCTCTGCTATTTCTGATTTGCTGGTGGAATAGACTTTGGCTTGAAGACAGCAAGAGCCTCGATTGGAGAAGAAGCCGTCACAACCAGTGCTTGCCTTTACTTACGTCAGAGGATTATCGGAAAGGATAAAAAAAATGGATCCGAGTAAATCAGATCCGGAAACACCATTCGTAGCAGACTCACCACAACTAGGCCACCAAATGCGGACTGCAATTCCAAGAATGTCATCTACTGGATAACCTGTGAGTGCGGCAAATCCTATATCGGTGAAACTAAGAGGTCATTGGTAGTCCGTATTGCCGACCACAAAAGAAACCCAGCGAAAAGAAACCAGTAAATCGGGAATAGCATCTACACTACATCAAATGGTTCCAAGCTGAGACCATCCACAGGAGAAACACTGGTTTGAAACGAAGCTCGAAGAAGCTGCATATATGTTGACCAGCGACGCATTCAGCCAAGCTAGTGTAGAGATACGCAACATATGGAAACCTGTAAGATATTGCTGAAAGTAGAAGTTTTTTAGAGACAAGACGACTACTCTCCATGTTTTTGAAACCTTCTACTGAAGAAGGAATTGAAGAAATCATTAATTATTTGAAATCTAATAAGTCTTCGGTCTTCAATATGATTTCAGTGAAAACTGTCAAACTGCTGACATATGAATTTATTCCCATCATAAAATAGCAAAAATTTCACCTTCATTCAAAAATGGAGATCCTAATGAACAATGTAATTATCGGCCAATTTACATTCTTTCTATTTTATCAAAAATCATTAAAACATTGTTGAAAAATAGATTATTAGAATATTTTAAATATATCGATTTTCTTCATAGTAGACTATATGGTTTTCGCAGATCAAGTATTCGATACAGTAAAAGATGATATTCTTCTGCTGAAGTTCAACTTAATTGGCGTTGCAGAAATAGTAACAGGGGAGGTCAAGAAGGGATTTCGGGATTTACTAAAGCGCGGCAGATTAATATACGGATACCTTGTACCCGGTTAAGTACCTCCACCAAATATGAGTCCCATATACAAGGCCGCCTGTGAGAGATAGAGGATCAGATTAGTAAAAAAAAATTGATGATCAGAAATTCTCGAGCCTGTCAGATTAAGGTAGGGAGGGTTAATTACCTGCTGAAAAGTGTATATTCCAGTAATCTGACAATTTGAGNCATCTCAGAAAAAAAATGGTACCTCTTGTAGGTATATTTCATGAAAACAGAGACATATCTCCTCTTGAATATTTGGAAACAATTAATTTTTCTTTAATTTATTCGAATCTCCAATGCTCAACATCAGTTTGGGCAACAGCTAATTCCTCTCATTTGAAACCTTTAGAACGGTTACAAAATAAAATCATAGCATGTATGTATAAGCTGAATCAGAAAAAGTACCAGCAATCGGTATAAACCTAGAAAATTATTAAATTTTGGGGGAATATACCATTTCAGAATATATGCATGTTGAAAATAATAAAAACATTCGATTTCGACGAAATCATTTTATTTCATGATCATAATACAGGACGAATACGAAAGATAGTTTCACAACCACAACAACCGTGGGGTAGGTGATCATTTGGTCCGAGAATCATGTATCCTGAGCAAGCGCAGTGAGCGGAGAATGACAAGCTTCCGCATTAATCAGTTCATTATTATTATTATCATTTGCACTAGAAATAAATGGAATTTGAATTGGCCTTTTATCTTGTCTCATACAATAACATTGCGATATCACTAATAATCGATACACTTTAATTAGAAGAACTATGCAAAAATACGGTAAATAAATAATTGTGATATTTCATACTTTTTCAGTTTCAAGAACTATCGAGTCATATAAAAGGGGAAGAAAACAATGTTTTCAGGAACCAATTGGGTCAAGAGATATGTGTTGAGGTGATGCCTTCTCAGCAGGAAACCTCCAATTTATTGGAGAAAGTTTTGAATGGAGATCGTATCGCAGCTGAACTTCTTGCAGCTGAAGTTCACAAAGAGATAGAACTGGCCGAAATCAATACCACCATACCTCAACAAGATTTTTGTATCGACTTGACTGAACTGGGTGTCTGGATAGATCCAATAGGTTGGTTTGAAATACTTTCAAAATAATTTGATAGAAAAAAAAGTAATACAAATTATGAAACAACAACAAAAAATATTTGGCGCTCCGGGGCGACTCGATTGATTCTAGTCGCGCATTTGCTTTTTCAGCTGTAGGAAAACCCGGAACCCTTCTCCCGCAGGATCCAGACCTCTCTACTCGGGAATAGTACTTTATAAGGCAGTTCATAGTTGACAGTTGGAGGCATAAAGTCAGAGGTCATTTCTAGAATGCTGTGACTTCCAATGTCAACCAACAGTCTGTTGCACTCTGCATTGAATTGATTTGTGCGATTGGCAATGTGCACAAGTCTGTATGCAGTCCATCTAGCTTCTCTTTCCAGAAATGTGGAGAGGAGGTAGATCTAGAAGGATCTCCATGGCCGCTGACGGTGTGGTACTGATGGCACCACTGATAGCCAGAGAACTTCGCTCGGGCCGTTTTCTGTAAAGCCTTTGGCCACCAA